TCATAACACAAGAACTAGGGGTCACCAAATTAAATTAATAGGCAGCAGGTTTAAAACAAACAGAAGGAAGTATTTTTTTCATATAACACACAGTCAACTTGTGGAACTCCTTGCCAGAGGATGTTGTGAAGGCCAAGACTATAACAGGGTTCAAAAAAGATCTAGATAAGTTCATAGAGGATATTAGCCAGGATCGGCAGAGATGATGTCCCTAGGCTCTGTTTGCCAGAATCTGGGAATGGGCAACAGGGGATGGATCACTTGATGATTAACTGTTGTGCTCATTCCCTCTGAAGCATCTTGCATTGGCCACTGTCGGAAGACAGGATACTGGGCTAGATGGACCTTTGGTCTGACCCAGTATGGCCATTCTTATGTAAAACAGCAGAGTAGTGAAATTGGTCTCCTTTTATTTTTCATTCTTAGAAACATCTTGAAAATGCGCTGCGAGCTCACCAGAGAGAGATGGAGAACTTTGTGCGAATGAAGCACACAGCAGAGGAGGATATTTGCAGTCTGACGGTAATGCCAGTTCTCCCAGCTACACTCGTGTAGGCTCTGTGGCAATGCCATTAACTTGGATAAGGGAAGACTGGGAGGTTACTGGTAGAGGTGGTGCACACCCAAGAGCCCCCTGTAAGAACAGATTTAAAAATTTTATTAAGATGTTTAAAAAAAAAGTGATCAGAGTTTGAGCATAGAAGTTTCTGGTTATCAGGGAATACCGTACAGATTATCGAGGGTGCAAAGTTTGGTTTAAGGTCGGGTGGCATAAGGAATACATAATCTGCAATATCCCCGATTGGGGGTAAAAGGTTGATGGGTCAAAGTACAGGCATTGAGATATGAGGGTATGAAATTCATAGAGTGGCTATGTTTGGGTGTGGAGTATAATGCGTGGATATGAGGATGGATTGACCCTCATTTGGTGAGATTTAATATTCAGGGAGTTTATGGTTCCATTTCATACGAGCCAACGGAGAAGGTCTCTTGGTCCATTTCTCGTAGTGGGAGAACGATGTCGTTCTGGCTCATGCCTCCTGGTACTAATATACTGGCCCTACCCTTCACACTGCTGCTGCTACAAGCTTGCCTGCAGGATGAGTAAGGATTAGGCAGGATATAATCAGAGCTCTTCTACCTGGAGAAAAGAATAAAAATGGAATATTATCAAAAGCTGAGTTATTTGGGGCCTTGAACAACCTGACCAATAAGCAGGCTCACAGCAGATAGCTACCATCACTGTCGTCTTATGCCAAGTATCTTTTTTAGACTATGGGCAAAAGATTAAAACCAGCAAAGTAAAAATGCTGCAGCAAAAAACATCTCCTCAGTCAAGGTAACTGTTTGCAGACGGGAAGATGAATAATTGTAATTGCAGCGCTTAAAGAGATAGCCGTAGGGTAATTACAGAGGAGTGTACAAAGCCAGCTAAAGGCTCCTGAACCTTAGTGAAATACATCAGAGCTTTTCCTCAGCAGTGCTACATCTTGAGCCAATGGATCTGTCAGATATCCCTGAGCCACGTGATAGAGTTTAATTTGGGGCATACCTTTATAGTTGCGTATAATAGTCATTGGGTGACAATCAGCAGTGTCTGTGTGTCTCGCTCTTGTGGCTTTAGTCAAGATTGCTGATTTATTTACACACACACACACTCTTACACTTCTTTTCAGAAGCCAAATGAGAGTTACCTATGGATCCTGAATGAAGTTTGTCACACACAAACCAGAAAGACATTACCTGCCTAACTTTCAGAGAATGTTTCCAGAAAAGAGGCATTAAGTACTCGTTAACACAGGCAATTACTGGATTCTGATAAATTGATGCACCAAAGCTTAGACAGGGTTCAGATTGCTCAGTGCATGATAAAAGATGACATCTGGGCTAGGCTGATGAGCAGTTGCTAGTTCTGGAGAGTTGCCAGACTGTGGGGGGTTTGTTTTTGTTTTTTTAATTGCAAAAGCACCGATGTGACCACAAAATTAGTCAGATCCCAGATCTGTTTCCATGACAGAGCAGTTAGGTTAATAACCAAATTTAAATATTCCTGTCATTTGTAGAGATAACATAGTCCCTATAAATGCACTATAGTTCAGATTCACTCTTAGAACATTAGGAACCCAAATATTCTTTTCTGAGTTTTCTCAAAGTTGAGTTAAACGTTATGACACAGGCTGACTCACCAAATTACTGTAGATAAACCCCGAAGTAATAGTGGCTGCAGTATAATTACACTTCTCTTTTGGAAGAGAAAAGGTACCAAGAAGTAGCACAGTGACGCTAAACTTCAGAAAGGAAAAAAATCTGAGGAAGCTGGCTAAGAAGGCCCTTCAGAAGTAAGGAAATTAAAATTCTTGGATTTAGTATTGAGCTTACCAGAACAAAACTGCAAAGGGCATAAATACACCAAAACTAAAAATGAAGCAGGAAGGCAAGAAATAAATTAGTATGACTAAATGGCAGGGCTGAGCCAGTTATCCAACCCAAACGGGTATCCTTCAGAAAATGGAAATCCATTCCTAGCGAAGCTGATAGAAGGGAACATGAACTACAGCAGTTGATAATATGTAAGAAAGAAATTAGGAGGGTGAGATGGCATTGGAAGAACAAATGGTCAAAATTACACTTAAAGAATTTATTTGGTCTTATAACAGAAGCAGGAAGCCAGCAAGAATCTCAGTAAGTCTGTTAAATCAATTAAAGAGGATATGGGCATGGCAGAAACTGAACATTTCTTCTTTCCATCCGTCTTCACCTCAGAAGATATTTGGGAGATACTGACTACCTGACAAGAGTAGGTATGAGGCGCTCTCAGAGACTGAGGTGTCAAGAGAAGGTGCTGGAACCAATTGAGAAATTCAGTGCAAAAGTCACTAGGAATGGATGGCTGCACCCAGGAGCTCTGAAAGAATATGAGAATGAAATTGCTGAGCTGCTAAGAAAACTCTGCAATCTCTCATTAAAATCAGCTGCTATCCTGGAGGCTAGCAAGTGTATCTATGTCTTAACTTCATTGGTCTAACTTCCAGGGTGAGCCTAGGAGTTACTGTAAACTTCATTTTAATAGCAGGGAAATTATTGGTTGAGACCGTAAATAAAGATAGTTATAAACATTTGAATAATATGGTATGATGGGAATAAACCAAATACAGCTGCTGAAAGGGGATGTGTTTCAAGTCCGCTAGAATTTCTTGAGCTTGTCAATAAAATATGAGCCAAAGAGGGCTAATTGATACAAACTTTCAAAAGTCTATGACAAATTCCTTCCCAAGAGGTTAGCAAGAAAACTAAGTGGTTATGGTTACATAGATTGTAAGCTCTCTGGTGCAGGAGCCATCTTTGTTGTGTGTTTGTACAATGCCTAGTGCAGTGGGATCCTGGTTAGGGTGACCAGATGTCCCGGTTTTATAGGGACAGTCGCGATATTTGGGGCTTTGTCTTCTATAGGCGCCTATCGCCCCCCATCCCCTGTCCTGATTTTTTCACACTTGCTGTCTGGTCACCCTAATCCTGGTTCGTGACTAGAGATCCTAGGTGCTAGAACAATACAAATAATAATGGAGTGAGAGGGAAAGTACTGCTGTGAATAGAAACTGGCTAAGAGTCAGACAGCAAAGGAGTAGGAACAAATGATGAATTTGCACATGGTGAAAGATGAGCATTGGGGGTGCCCGAAGGGTCCAGGTTAGGACCAGTGTTGTTTTATATGTTAACGGTTTGGAAAAGGGGGTGAACAATGAGGTAGCAAAGCCTCTGGTTGACATAAAATTATGTAACTCAGAGGAGATGAAAGAGCTTCAAAGGAACCTCGGCAACCCATGTGAACAAGCCACATGATGGCAGATGATATTCAGTGTTGACAAATGCAAGGTAGCCGTAATTGCACAATGGAAGCAATAATTTGGATTCTGAATTAGCTGTAATTACTCAGGGAAAAAGCTGCAAGGCTCATTATGGACCTCTGAATGAAAGCTGCCATTCAGTCTGCTGCAGCAGACAAACCGAATAATGGGGGCAAGAATAATACTGACTATTGTGATGCTGTTATAAATCAACAGTGTGTTCTCATGTGGAATACTTCATTCAGTTCTGGTCACCTCATCTGAAGAGAGAGAGAGCAGAACTAGAAGGGCAGGGGAGTTCAGAGACCAGCAAGGAAAACAATTAGGGGCCAGGAGAGACTGAAAACATAGAGCTGTTTAAAGGAGCTGGGGGCTAGCGAGAGATGCATACCAAATGCTATAGAGAAGGTAAATATAATGCATCTGTTTACCCCTTCTCGTAAGACAAGAACAAGTGCATGTTCGGTGAAGCTCAATGGTAGTATGTTTAAAACTGACAAAAAGCAATAATGTCTTACCTGACACGTAATTAACCTGTAGAACTAATTGCCCAGAGACAGATGTGTGCGCTGTCTGAGTTACCATTTCAAATGCAGAAGCCCAGAGCCACGCTGGGGCTCAGGACCTCAGACTAGGGATAACATTTTCAGAGGCTCCAAAGTGACTTATGAGACCAACTCACATTTTCCAAGTTTAATTTTGGGACTTGGGCTCCTAAATCACTTAGGCCCTCTTGAAAATGTTAACCTAGGTCTGGAATTTAAGACCTGTAAGTTGATTAATAGGCAGCAGGTTTAAAACAAACAGAAGGACGTATTTTTTTTTCCACACAACGCATGGTCAACCTGTGGAACTCCTTGCCAGAGAATGTTGTGAAGGCCAAAACTATTACAGGGTTCAAAAAAATCAAGATAAGTTCATGGAGGATAGGTCCATCAATGGCGGTTAGCCAGGATGGGCAGGGATGATGTCCCTAGCCTCTGTTTGCCAGAAGCTGGGAATGGGCAACGAGATGGATCACTTGATGATAACCTGTTCTGTTCATTCTCTCTGGGGCATCTGGCATTGGACACTATGGGAAGACGGGATACTGGGCTAGATGGACATTTGGTCTGACCCAGTATGGCCGTTCTTATGTTCTTATTACTCCCAGATTGTTGTCAAAGCGATTTGGACAAGGTAATTGAGTTCAAAGAGGTCATTTGAAAAGCTTAGTTCAGTGACTTTACTTCTGACCTTAGTGGCATCCACATGGTCCAAAGCAGGGTTCCAGCAGTGCCTCTAGCAGGGAGGGCAGGGGGAAGACTTCCCTTCTATCCTCTCTCTGGCTAGATTACATTGCAGGAGTATTAAATTAGAGAAATCAAAGGCAGCTGTGTTGTGTCCCTCCCCCTGCCACCTACTGCTCAGTCTTTGAGTCTTAATCCAAAGAGCCACTCAGCGTAGAATAAGGCCTGCTGTATACCTAAAATGACGGTCAACCTAGCAACATTGCTCAGGGCTGTGAAAAAATTTGCACCCTGTGCAACCTAGTTAGGTCAACCTAATTCCTACTGTAGAAGCATCTAGGTCGATGGAATAATTCTTCCGTTGACCTAGCTACCGCCTCTCGAGGGGTGCATGCATATATATAAACCAGGTGTGTGTATCTGCTTAAAAGTACCCCAGTCATTGCTCCCCTGTGGATCAAAAGCCCTTCATTTTTATTTTTATCGCCCGTCCTCTGCCCCATAGTTTTGGAGATTTCTGAAACCCTATAGGAAATCGACCTGTAACCCTCTTCACTGTGTCTTTTATGGCATTTGCTTCTGCTCAGAAAGCCTCCGGGGAGCTGAACTCTAAGATTCGGGCAGAATTTGAGCGACTTCATCAAATCCTGGAGGAAAAGGAGAGAGTTGTGTTGATGGAGCTGGCCAAAGAGGAGGAGCAGTTATTGTTGAGGTTGCGTGGGGACATCATGCAGCTGGAGGAGGGGATCTCAGAGCTGGGAAAGAACATTGAGCACATACAGGAAATCCTGAACAAGACGGGAGACTCATTACTGCTGGAGGTGAGATTGCTCAGCCAGCTCTTAACGCATTGAGGCTTGGGGAGGAGGGCGAAGGATGTTAGCAGGATGCTGACACGTGGTGGGAAGAGCTCAAAATCTGAATCGGGAAGTTGGAGAGCAGCAGAAGCAACTCTGTTGTGCTGTAGGACTGCCCAGGACTCTAGGCTTACACATCTGAAAGGGAAGCAGCGAGGCAGGGCAGAAGCTACAGTCCAGAATTGGGATCCACAGATCCTGGGTGGTCTAGAGCTCTTGCTGTGGTCCCTGCCAAGCTGTCTGGTCAAGGGGTGACCTCCTCCCTCTCTTTCCATCTGCTAAATGACATCACAGGAACGTTAAAATACGTTTGAATACTTCCCGAATTACTTTTCCGTGTATGCCACAAGGATGTTTTGTGATTGTGGATGGGAGGGGAGGAGGTGGTTCCTGAGACAAGTTCTCTGCTAAGATGTGGTCTGTCCCGGGGAGACATGTAGGGACCCTGGGGCTGGGCAAAAGGAGCAGCGCTGAGCAGCATTGCTGAGCTGGATCTGCCAAGGCTCCTGTGGTAAGAAATCACCATCCATCATTGCGCTTGGCAACCGTGAATAGCTGGCACCCAAGGCGGGTGGGTGAGCGAGCCAGCCGCTGCTGGGAAAGTGTGCTTCAGTGGCACTCCGATCCCTAGCACTGATGGGCTGCAGAGAAAGCATTAACGGGGCCATGAAAGCAAAGCTGGAGCACCCAGGCAACCCTCTCTGATAGTGGGGTCAAAAGCACACTTACATGCCCTGTCCCCATGGGCAGCCATGGCCCCCAGCCCTCCCCGTTGTGAATGGCAAGATCTCCCCGTTAGTAGATGGAAGGGGAAAGAGTAAATCCTTGGCACTGTTGTCTTTGCAGAAGCTCAGGTTGAAAACAGACTGGCAAGGTGCAGGGGCGGGTGAGAAGAGGTATTGACTCCTGTACTGGGAGAGGGGTGAGGAGCCCCAGAAAATGAAGGCAGGCTCTGGTGGCTTCAGGTAGGTAAAGGTACGCTCAATGTATTTAATAATAAAGCACGTGCCTTTACCTGCCTCAGGTTCCCAGAGCCAGCTGTATCCTTTGGAGCTCATCTCTGCAATCATGCTTAATCTTTCTTCCCGTCTCAATCATTGAAAAGATCCTCTAAGCAGAAGGAAATCTGTCCCAAACCGTACCAGGCAAATGAAAGTATACAGGGGAAGGGGAGAGAGGAAGACTGTTCATGAGCGAGTGAAACCTCTCTTGAGACTGACTCTTTATTAGAGACACAGCTGCAATTTTGTGTCTCACTCCCACTCTTCTGGATCTTATTCTCAGTCCCTTGGACTGAGGCATCTTAGATGTGTTCTGAGTCCTCCTCAGCCCCTAGCCCTCCAAAACAACCTTGGTTTATAGACACAGCGTCCATCCCCTGTTGGGGCCCAGTTGGACTGGTGTGTTTATCGTCTTTGTGTTCCAATGTGGTGGCAGGAAAGAGGGTAGTTAATTTATTTGTGCAGCTGTACAAATTAAGGACGGTGATTGTTAATTTTCTCTGCCTTTCATTGCAGGTGGAGAGCGTGGCTATCAGGTACGTGTCTGGAATTAAACAAGCTGTTTCCCTTTTCATGAGGCTTTTATCTCCCCTCCTTGGCTGGGGACAGTGGGAAGAGAGGCGTTATCTTTTTAGTTTTTAAAGCACTGCTAATTGTCTAGCAGGCCATTGGCATGGAGCCAGACGAGGGGAGAAGGATCTATTCCCCAGCGAGCATCAGATGCTCTCATGTAGATGTGCTGGGCTTCTGGAGCTAGGTTCAATGGAAGTGTGGGCTATAGTGGAAGTGGGGAAACGGAGTTGCGGGTGCGTACAATGAGCATGAATTACACATCAGGGAAAAGTGGAGAACTGTTACATCAAATAACAGGGTGTACAAGCTAAACCGGAGGGCCGTGTGTGATGAATATGGAAATGTTGGTAATGTTTGTATTTTTATGCACGCCCCTGTTGTCTCTGTGTTTTATGCTGCTATACACTGACTGCAAAGGGAAGGGATGAGGTATTGGACTCGGGTAGCCACTTGGCTGGAGACCAGAGTCATTAGCAAATTGAATAGAGGCTACATGTGTGAATGGAGAATCTGGAACAGACAATGGAGATATTCACACCCAGTGACCAAAGGCCCAGAGGAAGGATGATTTTCCCCCCACTTTTCTGCCAAGAAGCAGAGCAAAGGTCCCCGAGCTGGAGAACAAGGGGAAAGGTGTCAGGTGGCTGTGTGACGAGCTGAGCTCCCAAAGACACACAGCGGCTCTCGCCGGGGACAGAGACCAAGGGGCAGAGACAGAGCCCGCAAGCAAAAGATGGTTACTACAGCAACATGGCCTGTGGGAACCCTGGCACTGGCCAGTCTGAATTCTGGCTTAACCTTTGCTTCCCTGTGGTGACCCAAGGACTTTCAGATTCTGGAGGTCAGGAGACGAATCAATTGTCACCTTGTTTTGAAAAGGCTGCCTGGTGTCACCGCAAATACTCACTAAGAGCATTGCACCGTGAAGGGGTAAAGGACAGGCCTCCCACAGCAGTCTGGCTTGACGGGACTTGCTGCAGGAAGCCATAGAGAGGGATCGCTGGCTCCTGAAGACCCAGTGTCAGAGTCATGGAGGTCACGGGGCTGCCCCTGTGGCACCCTAAAGGGATCACTCCCAAGGGACTGGGTACAGGCTGGGACATAGATGACCCTGTGAATCCGGGACATCCTGTTTAGCTGATTTTACTGTTTTCCTCTCTGCCCCCTTGGGACCAGCCTTTCAGTGCTTGGCATAGCTCAGAGGAGAGGGGGCAGGTGCAAAATTGAACTTGAGCCTCCTGGGGGGGTCTCTAGGCTCACCCCCAAGGCACAACTTAGAGCAACCTTCTGGCAGGTCTGAAATTGTGCCAGCTGCCACTGGCCCCAAAGGCGCATTTGTGCCCCTTTTCCCCCATTCCCTGCACTGGGGGTTGGGGGAGGAGCTGCTGCAGCAGGCGGCTGATTCTGGCTGCTTTGCACTGCCAGAGTGGGGCTGAGAACACGGTCGGTGGGGTGGAAGTCGTGCTCATCTTGCATACCTGCCGAATGGTGAACCAGTGCATGTTGCTCTGCTTTACCAGCCACAACACTGTGTCCATCTCTGCTGAATTTGGCCCAAGGCTTCCGGGGGGCTTACACCTTCCTTCTGCAGGGCATTTCAGCCAGTAGGGGAGCAGGGAGACAGGACAGCAGCCTGTCTCAGCTCGGAGGTCTCTGTATCTACTAATCGCTCTGCCCTCAGAGGGACTTCCTGTTTGAGCTCCTTGGCAGGATGTAACCACCCCCCGGACCTTTTGTTGTATACCCTGCCCCGCTAAGTCCATTTGCTCTGGTCCCTTGCCTCCCGCAAAGGCCTCGCTTCTAAAACACCCCCAGTCCAAGTCCTCTTTTCTAGTGGGCTTTTACTAATGGCTTTGTAAAAACAACTGGCTCCTTGTCTGGACCCTGCCTCACTCCTGTTCCTTGCTTGCCCAGGCCCCCAGTGCATGTGGAGGCACAGCCCTCCCTGGACATAGAGCGCCACAGAGACCGGTACAGCGGCCCCCTGCAATACATCTTCTGGAGACAAATGCTACAGTCAATCCACCCTGGTGAGTGTGACGCAGCGCAGGGTCCTCAGGGGTGGGGAGGTGGCCAGAGGAGGAGCGCCTAGGGAGGGGAAGTCGCCTAGACTGAAAAACATGGAGCAAAGCCCTGACAAATTCTAACTCTGTTATAGCTCCTGCCCCGCTGATATTTGACCCCGAATCAGCCCATCCTAACCTCATCCTCTCCAAAGACCTGACGGCAGTGACGGAGAGCAACAGGCGCCAACCTGTCTGCAGCAGCCCCAAGCGTTTCCAGCAGTGTGTGAATGTGCTGGGCTCCGAGACCTTTGACAGCGGGAGCCACTACTGGGAGGTCTGGGTGGGCAGCAAGACCAAATGGGACCTGGGGGTAGCAGCGGAGTCCGTGGACCGGGCAGCCAAGGTCAAGCTGTGCCCTGAGAATGGTTACTGGGCACTTCGTCTGAGGAACGGGACAGAGTATTGGGCCACTGCTACCCCGTGGGTGCGCCTTGCCCCAAGGAGCTGTCTCCGGAAGGTGGGGGTCCTTCTGGACTGCAAAGAGGGGAAGGTGGCGTTCTACAACGCCGAAGACATGACCCACCTCTTCACCTTCCACCAGGCTGCCGCACGCAGGTTCTGCCCCTTCTTCAGCACTTGCTTCAGCGAGGGCAAGCTGAATGTGGAGCCCATGAGAATCTGCCACCTGACTCTGTAAGGGTGATATTTTCGGGGGAGTGGGGAGGGAGGAGGCAGTCTCCCAGGAAGCTATGCAGATACCAAAGAGACAACATGTGGCCCTGGGAGCTGGTGTTGCTTTCTGGTTTGGTTGTAGTTGCTGCTGCTTGGACTGTCCCTGGAATAGGAATCTCCTGCTAGAACAGCTCAGTTGGCTCCCCCCTGCACTAGTGCCTGGTCGTTTACTGTTTGAGCGAATGTAGCAAAGGTGTGTGGACTCTGGTCAGTCTAACCTGTAAATCCCAAGCCTCTAGGGCAGAGTCAGGGAGAGTCTCTCCATTTGTGGCTTTACTCTGTGGGGAGAGAAGAAGTGACTGAATCTTAGTTCCCAGTATTTTGTCTTCTGTTCCCTGCCTTGGCACAGGGGCGAGGGTCCTGGACTCTCACCTCAGCAACTCAGCTTGAGCCATAGCGTATTGTGCACTGAGGTTTCTCCAGCCTTCCTCCCAACAAAGAGATGGTGCATCTCGCTGCTTTACAGGCCTTAGAGCAGCCTCGTGCAGCAGCCAGTGACACTGAGGTGAACACAGCCTCCTCTCAGTAGCCGCTTTGGTACAGACTGTGAGAAGATTCAAAGGAAACTAGGCAACCTAAGTGAACAAGCAGGAATTGCACAATGGAAGCAATGACTTGGATTCTGTGTTAGTTGTAATCACTCAGGAAAAGGCCAGGAGGCTCATTAGGGACTACTCAAACAGCTGTCTTCAAAGGGCTCCTGCCTTTGTGGGACTAGAACAAGCAGGTAGAAGTCAGGTGGTAAGTTCTAGGGAGCTCCTGGTCAGTGGGTAGGCGCCTGTTGCATGGTGGGGATTGCATCTTCGTGATACAGTGGACAGCGCTGGCTGGGAGTGGAACAAGCATGGGGGCAGGGGATGGATCTTCAATGATTTACTGAGATTTTGCTGCTCTTACTCTATGAATTTGATCTGTGAAGTGGACACTGCTTATCCTAGTGGCAAGCATTTAGTTAGGTGCCAGCTTGTTGGGGTGTTACAAGTCCTGAGGAGCCAATGGAGAGGAAGGAGAGCTGTAGCCTTACTGACCTTCTCTGCTCCCCCCAACTTTCTCTGCACAAACGGTGTGGCCTTTAACAGCCATGCACTTCTGCCACTGGAGACAAGGTGGGGGGCTCAGTCCTCCCTTTCCTGCCTGTGAGCAGAGGAGTGTCCCACCCAGTGCTGGGAGTGTAACCAAGCAGAGTCTAAGGGACTCTCTGGAACCTCCTGAATGCAGAACTCTTGGGGGAGAGGGAGGGGAGGAAGGCAATTCAGGGGCCAAGGGGCATCTGCTGCTATTACCCATCAAACTCTCCTTCCCATGTCATCAGTCTGAGCGGTTTGTGTTTGGTTCTCGAATTGTTTGGCGCTATAGCCATTGTCTTTCCCTGCGCCCCTAGCGGAGAGGGGAGTTGAGCCGATGTGGAAGCACCTCTTGCAGACAGGGCCACTCTGGGTGGTTGCCTCCCCCTCACACGCCTCCTGGCAGAAGTTAAGTCTTCTCCGGTGCTGCTCCAGAGACTACTGGGGGAGGCAGGTTTCTGGTCTGTTTAGAGTGTAAGCTCTTTGGAGCAGGAGCAGTGTTTTTGTTCTCTGTGTGTACACCACCCGCAGCTCTTGCTGAAGTCAGTCAGAGGTGAGACCGCGGCCGCTCCCAGGGGGCACTCAGCACTTTGCAGTATTGAGCTCTATGGCTGCTGGCAGAGAGGTTTGTTTGGAGGTTTAGGGAGACAGAGCTGCCCTAGTGCCGCAGTGTAGGTGCTGCAAATCAGGCGCACTGACAGTGATGGGAGGTGGGGGGAGCTAGGGTTTGAGTAGCAGGAGTGCTGAAGATCAGACTTGGGCTACATTGGCACAGGTGGAGGAGTGACCCAAGGGCTGGAGTAGCAGGGGGGCTGGAGGTGAAGGCTGGCATACATTAGCAGAGCTGTGTGAGAACTGGCTTGTGCTGTGCTGTGTGATCAGCTATTCGATGCTGGGATCTTAAAATCCATGTAATCTGAAAACCTTCTGCTACACAATCCTCGGCAGGAATGTCTTCGTTCCGCAGCCAGCACTTGTGATCCCCAGCCCGTGCCCCGCTCTCACGTCAGTGCTTGAGCAGTTGGTAAACTGGCCTTTCATCTAGTGTTGATGCTTGAAGAATTTCTTAATCCCAGCTGTGGAATTTCCTTCACTTGAAGTTTGTTTCCTCCGAGGATCCGAGGGAGGGGTTCCTGCTCCTGCTCCCCGCCTGGGAACAGGGTGGGCCAGCAGAGGGCACTCTCCACTAAGCGAATGTC